TAAATCTACATGTTATATTCTCTGTTCGTGTACAAAGGTAAAACACCCGGCATAAGTGTATATGCGGGGGTGTTAATCGACTCCCCGGCTAAGTTTTACCGGGGTGTAAACCGGGGCGCCCCAGAATCAAACCTGTGGGGCCGCATTTGTTAAATTCACGTCAATAGCAGCCGTCGACTTTAAAGATATATCCTGCTAGAGTCGGGTTCTATTAACGTGTACCACTAATGATTTTGTAAAAAAGATAAACCAAAGCGGAGACTCCAATTACCGACACAGGGTAACGGTAACCGTTCCGCTACTATTCATAGTTCGTAGAGGGGTTTCGAGCGGTTGCGTTGCTCTCTACAGAAAAGTCCGGTGGGCATGTTGCCGGGCGGGGCCGCCTTCGACTTGCGCGCGAGGGCAGCCGAGAACCGGACAGTTCTGACAAGTGTTCAAGCTCCCGGACCAGTTCCCGGTAAGTCTTCACCTTTCAACTCCACCTCCGGTTCTCCTTGGACGACCAGGCCTTTCGGCCCGGTAGAAACCCTTCTGTGCATACATAGCTGACTCGTAATAAATGACTCCCGGATAGTCGAGTTCAAAATCAAGGCGAAAAAGAGCTGTGTTCACCTTCTGCAAAAACCGACATACGTAATCCGGTTTCTTTATAGACGACTTCAAACGAGACACTTGTCCGGGCCCGAGGGACACTAAACATTGATATGAAAGAACAAAAACGTATTAAAGTCCACTTCTGCCGCTTTTCAGAGTCTGACCGATAAAGTTATCGTTAGGCGACACCAAATGCCTAACCCGGAGGCTCCATAATACTATGTCTATAAGGGAGTCAAAAAAGGGGGGTTCTGTTAGAACGTTCAAAGAACGCGATAGGTATTGCGTCTTTCAAAGCGATTGTGTTTACAAATGAGTTGTGTCTGCTTAGAAGCCCTCCACTAGAGGGACCTCTCGTTGTCGCTGCGCCCCTAGCACGGTAAGTAGGATCCGCCGACGAGACTTGGCGTCTGTAGCACGCCCGTCAAGTCTGTGCGGTTTCACGGTTTTGGAAATGTCTGCCTTTCTGCCATTCAATTTTGTAACTTGATCTCTCGACAACGCTCGACAGTCATTTTTCCGACGTTCTGACTCAACCTCTCGAAAGAAGGTACACGACTGTAAACTAGGTTTTACTCATTTTCCGATTAAAAAAACCCAATGTTCGGCTTTTGGATAAAAACCGGTTATCGTATTCGTCTGTCTTGTTCGACTACTTCTTTGTTTACTTACATCTTGAAACCAAATCACATTAAATTAAGCTATCCGAACTGGGAATTCGGTTAAGAGAGAGACTGTATTGGTTTGAGTTTTTATAAAATGTTCTAAGTCTAACCGGGACTGTAAATTTCGCCGTTCTAAACTTATTACACAACGTAGATAAATTTAGCACGATGAAATAACTTGGAGTAGTATTTAACAAATTCCGTTAAATGTATAGAAACGTCCGAGATGACCTTAACATTATAACAATTTTTAGGCAACGATTCTCTATAGTTATACCAGTTGTTCCGTAAAATAACTAAAGGAAAAAACAAAAAATAGGGATTCTTGTGTAAATGCATTTTAAAAGCCTCCGGGATGATTCCGGCGAGGAAAAGGGGGTAAAAAGCTGGGTACACAGTAGTATTCATGTGTTAATAAGCCCACTTTTCAAATAAATTCAGTCAATTAAAGTTGGGAACATTTTCTAACAAACCTTAGCTGATAAAAAAAGCACAATAACTTATTTACCTAACAAGCTTGAAATATACCCTTCATATTTCCCTCCTGTTTTAGGGAACGAGCTACCAACTAAATAAATTAAACCCTCTGGAGAGCTGTGATATAACCTGTTTTTTTCTTAAGGCATTATCAAGTATCAAGCATAATTTACCTACACTTGATTAATTTTGCTAACTTATAACTGAACTTATGAGGCAATATTGCTCACCTCTAGTGAGCGGCCCAGCCCTCGTATATTTTTCTTTATGTGGCCCTCGGTGAAAAAAGTTTGGACACCCCTGTTTTAAGTGATTAAACTGTATTGGAACAAAAATACTACACACTTAAAAAGTTTTCCCGAGAATGTTTAAGCAGTGACAGCCCGCTGATTGCTACCTTTAGCGACTTCAGTGTTGACTTTAAAGTCATCAGGGGTGAGGACATAGTTGATCCACCATGTGAATCCCCTCTCCTGCTTCTCGATCCACCTCTCATCGTAGAACATGTTCTTTGCGGCAAACGGCATCGGGTGTCTCGGTATGGCTGGAAGAAAAAGAGAAATTGTAGAACACTCATTAACATTTTTTCAAAAATGTGCAATGTAGAATGTTCTTCTATCAAAATACCTGTTTGAGCCACCGGCTTGATGAAGGTCAGCTTTGACTGCGCTACAGCAACAATCTTTGACGTCTTCATGGAGGAAATACGAGATGACCTCAGAGAATGGACACCTGTCAAAAGAAAAAACATAAATGTTTACTCTTATACAAGATGTATTCCCCTTCTTAAAAAGGCAATAATGCATAACTTCATACCTCGTGATGAGGTGAGTTTGGAGCTTGGTTGCTTGGCCTGTGCAGGAACCACAGACCTTGCCATCTTTAAAGATGATGTTGTCATAGATCTCACTGAGCCTAGAAAAAAAAAATTCAAAACAGTAAATTAAGAGAGTCCAGAAACCATGCAAACCTTCAACAGAAGTTAGATTTTTGGAAATAGGTAACAAATGTATTTATTTATTTAGGTCAATAAAAGAAAAATGCTGTGAATATTACATTTATCATGGCTTTAACTTTAAAAGGCTTTTGTGTTATGATACAAAAGTGGAAATTCACTTCACACTGAATTTAATATACAGGTCTTTAAAATCACAATGTATTATAATAACACACATCTTAACATCAATGAATGTTTTGCCCACCTGTTGTTCTGGGCCTCTGTGTTGCACTCCTCCTCTCCTGGACGGATCTTAGGGGCTCCTTTTTCCCAGGAACCACCTTGCTCCTTTTGACAGGTTCAGCTTTCCCAGCATCCTCAATCTTCACATCACTTTTGAAATACTCCTCACTCTTTCTCTTCTTGCTATTCACGGCCATGTAAATGGGAAATGATTCTTCCTGCACGGACTGAGATACAGACAGATTTGGAGACGCTTGTGGTGTCAGGTGACGGTGAAGAGGAGAAGATGAGCACAGGGGCGACGGAGAGCTGACAGGAAAAACAAACGGAGCGTGGGCTGCTGGGGGCGTGGAAGTGGCTGAGAAAGAGAAGCGAGCCGGGGCCAAAGACGGAGGGGAGGTGATGGGGAAGGTGATGGGTGTAGGGGAGCCGTCAAGGCGTGGAGTCAGGCTGGAGGAGGTTAACCCCTGGGCTGGATGGCTGTCATCAAACAGGGAGTTTGCAGAGTTTTGCAATCCTTTGGTTTCCGTTTCTAGCTTTATGACAGGAAGGATAGGTGTTCCTGGTGCAGAATCACACAGACTGCTTCCATCAGACAGCTCCAGGGTTTTCTCTAAGAGCCTTCGTCTTGAATTCTTTATCTTCCTTCCACTCGAAATAATTGCCTCCACTGGTGCTTTGTTCTTGATCACCGTGGCAGAAGTAAAAGAGGCCTTTTTGACCCATTCCGTAGCCTTATCAGCCTCTAAAACCACCTCGCTCACAACAACCTTTTTGCTGACAAAGAAGGTCAGCCTCGGCTCGTTGGAGTCCGACCCATGTGGGCTATCAGGTAACACTGGAAGGACATTTTTGTCAGGTCCATAGCCACAAGTCCCACTCTTGGAGTCCAATGAATCTGAAAATCCACAGCTTGAACTTGTGTCTCTAGGACTGGTGTTCATTCTGGTCAGATCTGAGTCAATGAGGGCAAGTGCGTCTTTCAAAGAGGGAACCGGGGTTCCAGTTAACCCACTGTCAGCAGAAAGTGGGCTGTCGGACTGAATACGTGGCATAAACTTCTTAAACATCTCCGGTGTCCCGATAGGTGACAGTGTCTTGTTGAGCATCTTGGTTAGATCTCTATATTCGGGTTTGCCCACCTGCAGATGTGGACTAGCAGACATGTTGCCAGAGTCCATCAGCTTCCCGGCTGGGACGAGTAGGACAGGAGGAGAGTCCTTCTGAAGAAAATCGATATTCTCCTGGTCAGACAAATTATAGGCCTTCTGCTCCTCTGATTTCTGAAAGTATTTGTCCATTGGAGTAGGCTTGGAGAGGGACCGCTCTCTGACAGCTTCGCCCTTATTGAGAGCAGCAAGAGGGCTGCGTGGCTTTTCCCGCTTGTACATTGACTTTCGGGACACTTGGAAGGTTTTGTTGGCTGCCATCTTCAGTGGCTGGTCCGTTTTGTTTCTCCTGGGTACGCTTACGTTTTCACCCTCCCTTTTGTTTTTGATTGTGTCCCATAAGCTTTTCTGAAACACAAAAAAACAACCAACATTTTTTATTTATCATGTCAGAATGAAAACTACGTGATGAAACCATTTCAAAATGACCAACTAGGAAAATCAGGACTGTTGACTTATTTTTAAACATTATTGTAGGGCTGTACCCGATTATCCGTTCGTTGGGCTGTACCCGATTATCCGATGGAGTACTATTCGGGTTTCAATTTCGTTATACGGATATTCGTTTTTTTTGGCACTGTGGCTGCCAAATTGAATGTATTGAAAACTCCAATATCAACGTAAGAGCTTGTGCCTCTTCGGGGGGTGCTAACACACTTAACCATAAACGTTATTGTTTACTTTCTCCGTTTTTATATGTAGATATTACTTTTTCTCCGTTAATCTCCGTCAAGTTATTTCCATAGCAACAACAACTTCCTGTCAACAGCGCTAACTCTCCTTCAAAATAAAAGCATGTCCATACAAAATAGGAAGCCAAGCCAAATTACTCTTAAGACTATACAACTGCAACGAAAGTAACAAACACAATGCAATATCCTTTTCAATTTCAAAGAACACGAAATTGGGTTATACACATTAACAAATAACTATAAAACAACAATAGGCCTACAGTAAAATAACAAAATGAATGCCGTGAATAAACCGAAATACACGTGTTGAAGCGGTTATTAGTAGGCTTGTTTGAGACAAGCGAGACCTGCGCAATTTCGATCAACAGGCTTGTTTGAGACAAGCGAGACCTGCGCAATTTCGATCAACGTCTTGCTCGTACGTTGCATGATGGTTATTCATTTTGTCCGACTTGGCTCTGGAGGAGTCGCCTACATGAGACGTTTGAAATCTCGCGCCGGCACAAAGACGGCCGCAGCCTTGAGAGCGTAGGCGCCGCGGCTGCAGCAGCTTCCTCTCAGCCGGCTTGCGAAGCAAAATCCTTGATGTGAACGACTCGGCCTGGTTATCTTGAGCTGGCGCTCATTGGTGCTGTTTTTACGACGTTGCTGGTCTGATGAAACTCTCAAATTGGCGTCGGCCAAAAATTTTGTTTGTTGTTTTTGTGCTCAGTTTTACGTGGCCCCCTCCATTAACATTTTTCATAATTGTTCCACAATGTTGTATCATCATGAAATGTATATATATTATCTATATCTTCTATATAGATATATCGTATGGATATTTACTATATATTCATATATGTTTATACTGATACTTGCCACTGCTTACCGTTTGCTCATGGCGTTGGTATATATCTTAGCATATTTAATAACACAGCTGTTCATACTGCTCTCACAGTCTGCTGTGTATATTTCATACCCCTCACTCTTTTCTTCATCATTCAATTCATGTCTATATTTTATTCTGTAGATTGTGTACATTACTTTTCACCTTGCTGCCTTGTTGCCACTCCACCTGGTTGGAAGCTAAACTGCCATTTTGTTGGTCTCAGTTACCTTGTAATATGTGCGAATAACAATAGAGTTTGAATCTATCTTGAGCAGGAACAAATGTATTTACTTTAGTACATATAGAGCATCTTTTGCAGGGTTTTTATTTTTTCTGTACATTTTCTGGCTGTAAACTTGCTTGTATTTAATATTATTATCAGCTATAAAATATATTATTAAATGTGAATGGCAGGATTTGATATGTTTTACAGACATAAGGGCACGGAATTCAGAGGGAAAGGAGGGCAATTTTGAGCTCTGGCTCTTAAAAACGGCTTTTTTTAGGTTCATACGGTCAAACTCGGTCATATTACATCACACAGGGGACACATCTCCGACTCCTGGCGCGGTATAGTGGATTGCGTTGAGTAGACGGCGGTTGTGTTTTAAGAGCTGGTATTTTTCGGTAGTTTTACAATTGGGTATTTCACCATTTGTAATCATAGTGCAGTAGTTGCTGTGTGGGGTTGCACAAATACCAGCCTGTCAGGGACATCGAGGTCCACATAAAAAGGACGGAGCAGAGCGTTTGTGTTCGCTGGGTGCGTTGTGCAGGTCCACCTCCCTGGGCAGCCACATAACTCTCCACCAGCTTTAGTCAGGAAACGATATTACTTCTCTCCCCGCCCACGAAGGCCCCTTTGCGCGCTCCCCTCTCTTCCCCTCCGGTACACGGCACACGTAAGACACAGTGTGGAGTTGCATTAGTAACGCTGAGGTGAGCTGTACGCATCCAGCCGTGCTCGCTTGTGTTTGTCTTGTTTCCCCCTGTCTGTGTTGTTGTAACCCGGACTCAACCTCCCACTCACCTGCATGCATCAAGCTGGCACCCGTCCCCGACTACTACACGCGTGCTTTCCATCAAGCACATTTGACAACGGATCATATCATACGGAGGGCTCCACGAACCTTTCTCCGCCAGATCGTTTCAAGTATCAAGCCGTATCTCGCGTCTCTCTCCGGGTACCGGGCTCGTCGACTAACTTTTTCACCATCCTCCCGGAACCGTCGGCCGAAACTACAATCGTAAGCCGCTCGCCGAGTAAGTTAATGTGGACCGTCGCGTGTGAGCCGAAATTTGAAAATATTAGTTTTTCTAGCATTGTATCATTAGGCGTAGAATCATATGCAAAAGAGCTTTAACATAACATAAAACATTCATACAAATCATCTAGATGCTAATTCATCCAACCTTTTTATTTGAGGTAAATAAAGTGCAACTCACATGAACAAAGGCCAAATATATTTAAACAGAAGACCGAGAAAGACGTCTGGCTCTAGATAGTTGAATCCAAGTCAAGGCCCAGTCCAGATTATACAAAAAACGAGGATGACAGGTTCTGTAACACAGTCAGTCACCCGTTTACAGACTGGCCGCGCCCCGTCGCACACAGCAAGAGAGTGCTCCGATGAGAAAGCTCCGGAAAATACCGATCATAGACGGCATGTTTGTAGCTCTTATTGCATATTAAAACGGCGTTGGCGAAACTAAAACTGGATATGAATTTTATGTAGCAAGTAATGACATATGACATGGAGTTTTGTTAAATGTCTCCAGTACCGGATAAAAGAGTCAGATTAACTTCGGAGCTTAACTTTACCACTGTCTTTAATGAATTCCGGCCCTGGGGCCCATTTAGTACGGCGTCTACCGCGAGCCCGGCGGACGATAACTAAATACGATGGAGGGTGTGCATCGTCAGCCTTATACCCAGGTAGGATGAAGAGGAGTAAGTAAATAAAGAGGCCGGTGTTGCGCAGATAAGTTGAGTCATGACAACTGGGACATTGCTATTATCCGTCATAG